TTGGACGGGGCTCTGAGCAACCTGCTCTAGTTGAAGATGTCCCTGCCCACAGCAGGGGGGTTGGACTAGATGACCTTTAAAGGTCCTTTCCATCCCAAACGGTTCTATGATTCTGTGATCTTTCCAACCACTGCTGATTAGTGTAAAAGCCACAATTAACGCTCCCTTAGGATTTCCATTAAAGGTGGGGAAGTATAATTGGTTTTGGGTTTGTGAATAGAAAATCAAGGTATCAAGAGACTTGTTTAAGATGAGATAGATAATTAGAAGCCAGGTGTCCTCAGTCCAAATTCTGAGTTTTATCTGCTCAACTACGGCTGCTGCAAAGGTCCACATAGGTGTCATCTTTCATATAAGAAGTCTCAGTGTAGTATTAAGCAATATGCTGATTAAGCTAGACTGGGACAGTCTTAAAAATAGACATTTGGGGATGTCTAGTCATTTAAACAGTGTCATTCTAAATTCACTTAATTATGGTAAAGGAGACATTTTTATCTCATTTATCAAGACAAAAGGTTGAAATTTTTTTCCCTGTTCCTAGTTTTTTTAACTTTTCAAAGTAATAAAGCTATGGTGCTTGTATGTGGTGCTGGTTGTGAGTGACAGAGGCTTGGGCTGAGGGGTTACACGTGGACTGTCCAGCTTTATCTGTGATGCATTGCCTCATGTGGTTCCCTTGTACCTGCTGAGATACCTGCCTTGCAGACTTGAGGCAGTTTGGATTGTCTCATGCATAAGTATGAACATTTAATAGTAAAACTGCTACAACTGGAGCTATTCAAATGGAAATCCTTCATGCTTGGACTAGGTAGGGACTGGCACTCATGAGAGTTAACCTTTGCTGGATCTGCCATTGTCCCTCCTGAATAAGTCTAATTAACAGTCCTTTGTATCTGGATTCATTATTTGTGGTTTGATGCCTAAGACCAATTATATCATGTATTTAGCAAATAATTTCAAAAGGCATTACAGAGAAGATTGCCTAGGAGGAGGACAGCACTGAAGTTTCCTCCCCTGCTCTGTGCTTATCTGGCAGTGCCATGTGCACTGTGTCATTTACCTGGGGAGAGGCTGTAACCTTTCCACACTGTGACTGTGCAATGCTTTGTAGTCCTCGGTGTAGCTAAAGCTTCAGTCTGAGATGCTTTCTGGGGTATGTTAATGTCAGTGAAACAGACCTTTTTTGCCTTATTTCATTAAGACGGTGACTCATGTTAAACTTTTGAGGAAAGGTACAACTCTAACAAAGTTTATAGGAAAGATTTCACTGGTAAAATGCTTTACTTAAAAATATGCATTGTACATTTGTAATGTAAGAAGAATCTGCTATTGTGAATGACATTTGGGTTTCTTCAACAGGGAAATGCAATTAAGACATACAAGTACAACCCCATCACTTTTTTACCACTGAATCTGTTTGAACAGTTTAAAAGAGTAGCCAACTTCTATTTCCTCGTTCTTCTCATTTTGCAGGTAAGAAAGACAGAGAGAATACTAACTGTGAAGTGAATTTGAGGTGCTAATCTACTGAGCTGAATAATACTTATGACACAATTCAGTGCTATCCTGTCAGAAAACTGCAGGGTACTTTGCAAGGGACTGTATCTGAACTACTATAGAAACTAAGCCCATCTTAACAGAAATCTGGAAAAACCTACGCTAGCTTTGTATTAGCCAGGATGAGCTAGTTGCAGAGTTCATGAATTTCATGGGGAAAAGATGTTTCTTTTACTCTGTAAAACATGCTGGCCTTAAGTTCCGCTCATGAATCAGAAGCTCCAACAGAAAATGTGAGCAACTACAATTGTTAAAGAGAAGCCGATGCTGAGGTAGGGCAGCACGGTCAAACGGTCCCCCGAGAGTTTTGTTCATCTTCACAGCCTGACTTAAAATTCTCTCTCTGTGTTGGTTTTCTTTCTTATGTTATAGTCAGATCACTATTAAATGTCTCTGAATTGAGCTTGATTGATAATCCTGTATTCAACTGATTTTATTTGTCTTTTGTAGTCGATTCCCCAAATAACTACCCTGTCATGGTATACAACACTGGTGCCCTTACTCTTGGTGCTGGGAATAACTGCAGTCAAAGACCTAGTGGATGACATTGTAAGAAACATGTTTTGTTAATACTAAAAGCAAAAAACCCAGTGTTGTTCATTTCTTTAATTGTGATACACAGTAAGGAGTACATTCTCTACTCCTGGTTTTCAGGCTCGTCACAGGATGGACAACGAGGTTAATAATAGGACATGCGAAGTCATCAGGGATGGAAGGTTTGTACTGTTCCCTTAACTTTGTAAGTAATGTTTGTTGCCTTACTACCAAGTTTCATCACAGATCTTAAACGATAGATGATAGGGAAAGTTCAGCTTTTTGTTCTCTACTATTCCACGTGTCTGTGTGAAAACCTAATCGAAAATGGTAGAGAATTGTGCAAAGGAGTAATTTAAACTTAATTCTGCGGCACTAAATCGGTGCTAAGAGCAACTTGTTTGGAGAGAAGGGCAGAAATTCATATATAGGTGAAGAGGGAAGAGAAGAGGTAGGTTGACTTCTAAGTTATAGACCCCCAACTAAATTGCAGTTTCCAAAAAGAAAAAACACACCTTGCCAAGATGTAATGTTTTTGTACTAAGGAAAGTTCATTATTTCGAGGTTTATAGAGTGCATAGTGTTCTAGATTAAATAGTAATAATTAATTGAACTATCTTGATATTAGGTTCAAAAACACAAAATGGAAAGATATTAAAGTTGGTGATATCATTCGTCTGAAGAAAAATGCTTTCGTTCCTGTAAGTGCTTTAGATATATTCGTTTTATGTTTCTACAGAGTTCTGTACGAATCTTGACTTGGATTTATTTGATGCTTATTTATTTGTTTTTTCTAGGCTGATATTTTGCTGCTATCCAGCTCAGAACCAAACAGTCTCTGCTATATAGAGACAGCTGAACTAGATGGGTAAGGCTCTATTTAAGGATTTCTTGGATTTAATTTTGGCTTACTGGTAAAAGAGCAAGAAGTGTGCATTTCAGACTCTACTTGTCACTTGTTAAGCCACACCTGGAAAACTGTGTCCAGTTTTTGATTCTCACAATTCAAGGATCATTAAAAATTGGTGAGGGTCCACTGGAGTGCCACAAAGATGTCTGAAGTGTTGGAGAACATGACATATGAAGAAAGGGTGAAGGACTTGGATTTATTCAGCCTGGAAAAGAGAAGGGTGATTTAATCAGTCTTCCAGTATCTCAAAGATAGCTACAGACAAGATATTCTCTTCACAAGGATGCACATTGACAGGACAAGAAGCAATGGACAAAAGTAGCTCCAGAGGAAATTCTGTGTGCATTCAAGTAGACAGAATTATCCACCATTATCTCATGGTGGATAATTTTTACCATTGGAATAGGTTGCCCAAGGAAGTGGTGGAATTTTTCTCACTTGAAACACTCAAGGCTTGGCTTGACAGGGCCCTGGATAACCTCATCTAATGTCCTGCTTCCAACAGGAGGTTGGACTGTTGATTACCAGAGGTGTCTTCCAACCTGGACTTTTCTATGATTTTAAACTTTTCTTATTCCCTGTCAGTGGGAAAACAAAAATATGTATTTTTTTTCAGTGGAAGTTTTTCATAGAAACTGTTTAGATAGCATAAATCCTACTGTCTCTGTCACATTCTTTGTAAATGTTGTTTTAGTTCATGTTCTCAGAAAAGCTAGTGCTAAATTCTTTCAGAGAAGTCTGTAATGATATGGACTTCACCTAATGAGGTGAAATGTTAGTTTTTCCAAATGAGCAGTGTATTCCTTGCTCAACCTTTAGTAATCTTAAAAACGATGACTTATAACATCATGCATAACAAGGATCTGTTTGTGTTGCAAAAGGTTTATTCTCTATTGGAGCTTCTAACAGTGTCAGTTATTAAATATTGCTTTCAGATAACCATTACTTCAAACTTAATTATTGCATTAGTAAAACAATGGTTCTGAGAAGTGTCACTTACCTACAGTGAGCGGAGGTAAAGGGGTAAGATTTCACTTGCGAAGAAAAGCAGGCAGTGTAAGAACTAGTCACATGGTTCATGAATACTTCATATCCATGCACATGCATGGCTTTGCCATTGCTTCAAAGTAGGAGGTTGGTACCTATGGCATATTGATTTGCTTAATTTAATTTTGTTCAAACTTCTTTCCTATATCCATGTTTTAATAAAATGACCTCTTTATCCTTTCTTCTTAGTGAGACTAACTTAAAATTCAAAACGGCACTTGAGGTAACACACAGATATCTTCAAGAAGAAAGTGCGATGGCAGACTTTGATGGTGTGTACAGTTATATTCTTACAACTATTCAAATGTTGCTCAAGCAGTTTACAGTACAAGTAAATAAAACATGGGCAGGGATGGAAGCTTTGCCCATGGTGCTTGTGATTCTGGAGTTAGTGGCTTCCTGGCTTTTGTCACGAGGCAGCGTAAGCAAGTTGCACAAAGGAAACTGTGCCGTTGAGCAAAATATAGTCTGTCTGAAGATGAGACCTTTGCCATGAATGAGCTACATGACACTAAGTAGAGGTGGTGGAGCCCTTTGTTAGTGTTTGCCTGCCTGTTTTCTTTTGGAAAAAAGTATGTTTGCTGTTGGGATTGAATCTGGGAAACATCTTTTATTGTCTTTTTCATATTTCTCATTACGATCTAGCGGCTTTCTCTGCATGTTGTGGAAACTTGAAGGGCAGGAATCCCTTCTCTTACTGAGATCTGACACAGAGGTTTATCTCAAGCTGAGTTCTTTAGCAATCCTAAAATTGCAAATGCTTAAAAAAAAGAAAAAAAGGGGGGGGGGGGGGGAAGACAACAGAGTGACATGGAGAAGTAAGCAAGTAGGGACTGTTCCTGGTTTCCTCCAGTGTAAGAACTGAGGAACACGAAGTGAAATGAGCAACTGACAAATTCAAAATAAGCACAAGGGAGATGCTTTTTCACCCAATACATAGTTAAGCTAAAATTCACACTTTGCCAAAGGATGTTGTGGATGTAAAAAGTTTGTGCTTTCAAAGAACGTCTCTTGAGCAAATTTATATGGAAGGAGAGTCTGCCCACAAAGACATCGGCTCTGGTTCAGGAGATCTGTTGGCTGCAACTTGCTGCGAGACTGTGAAAGTGTTTCAGTGGCCTGCACCTGTAATTGTACTCTTCCTTGCGCATCCACCAGTCTTGATGAGAGACAGGGTTCAGGGCTAGAGACAGCAGTGTTTTGGCCTGAAACTGCCATTCGGTGCTCCTCTGTAGCAATTGGCAGTTATGCTGACATTTACATTTATTTATTTATTTCTGAAACACAGTTGTGATAACGGTAGCTGCAGCATGAACCAAAATTTTAGGATGAGCTCAGTTTTGGGGATGGAAATGCAAATGTGTACCATCAAGTGCCAATCATAAAGCAGGCAGTGGGAATAGGGCAAGTCCTAAGAGTCAGAGAAAAACGTCACTTTTTCAGCTTTAATATTTGGGTACCTGCGCAGCGTAGCAACGTACAGTGGCAATGTGTATCTGTAGCAACGTATTGCATGAAGGATGTCTTCCTCTTGTGGGATCATTGCTGGTAAGTCTTCAATGGCAAAATGAACTGAACGCTCTGTTCATGCTGGAGCGTAAGATCCAGAGACACATACACTCTTGTAGGCAGGCATTTGTTAAAACTTGAGAAATATTAAAAGAAAAGGTGAACAAAAAGTGCCCTATTTGGCAGTAAATGCTGTGTGTACTGGTCTTGGTGCAGAAATGAATTCTTTCTGCTATTGTAATCTGGAAAGCAAAATACCACCCTAAGATACCATATTTAAAATATTAGCAATACAGCACTGAATATTTGTACACCCTAAATTTCAAAGAAATCGCTTAATCAGAACACTTGTTTTCTCAAAAAACCAACCTCATGAAGTAAAACTACTTCTATGATGGGTACAAGTCAATGCATTTTTATTTAACTGTTGTATATTAAACATATTCTCATCCAAATTTTTTAGGTCTAATTGAATGTGAAGAGCCTAATAACCGACTGGATAAGTTTGCAGGGACATTATTCTGGAGAAACACGAGTTATTCACTGGATGCTGATAAGATTTTATTACGTGGATGTAAAATCAGGAATACAGACTTCTGCCATGGAGTGGTCATATTTGCAGGTATTTATGAATTGAACATGTGTAATATTTACTGACTAAAAGCATGCCCTGTAGAGTGAAATTACATCTTTATCTTATAAACATTGACTGTATTTTATGTCCCAGTTTTGTAAAATAGTAATAGTAGTACAATTAGTAATACTAATACAATACTAGTTTACGTATTGTATCTGTCCTTTTTTTTTTTTTCCTTTATTTTTAGGTGCTGATACAAAAATAATGAAAAATACTGGAAAGACGAGATTTAAAAGGACAAAAATTGACTCCCTTATGAATTACATGGTTTATACTGTAAGCCTTATTGTTTAAAATTCAGCTGTTTTTGAGTTCATTTTAAAGTGAATAGAGTGAATGCAAATTTAGGAAACTTTTTTTTTCTTTTGGTGTAATAAGTATGTTTTCAGTTTGTTTTGACCTGATGAGTTGGGATGAAGTAGGAGGGAATCTAAAAAGGTGCCTCGCTGTTGGTGGAATCTGTGACCCTAAACTGCAGGTGTAGGGCAGCCTACGTGATGCAGAGAAATGCTTCAAACCCAGTGTTGCAGGTGCTTCTGCTTGTCTGCACTGAACTGTTGGACAGAGACCTGAGGACCCTGGTCCAGAGGTCCGTTCAGCCTGAAAGGTTCAACACCCGTGGCTTTTGTCCTTGGTCAGCACCCGTGGGGTGTGCGTATGAGGAATACCCACCGTCCCACAACCTGCGCTCTACTGAGCGTGATTCCCTGGGACGGGGAAAGAGGAGAGAGGAGCTGGCCTGTTGGCAGGCAGAGGCACTCAACTCAGCACGACTCTGGTTCTGCCCCTGCTCCGAGCACGTTCGCGTACCCTATGCGCTGCCTGCTTAAATAAACATAAAAACATGAAAATGACGCTTGGGGAACATACTAAAATTACAACCCGTATTATTTGAGGAGACCATTTTGTGGGAAAGGTTTGCTCCTCTTCTTCTTACTTACAAATACATGTAATATTCTATTTTGAACATGGAGATTTGGGATTTAAGTTGAGGAAATGTTTCTGAAGTGTTACAGGCCTCTCTGTGTACACTGTAGATTTTTGTTGTCCTCATCCTGCTGTCGGCTGGCCTTGCCATTGGACACACCTACTGGGAGCAGCAGATTGGCAACTTGTCTTGGTACCTCTATGATGCACTAGACTTCAATCCTCCGTATCGTGGCTTTCTTAACTTTTGGGGATATATCATTGTTCTGAACACCATGGTTCCCATTTCCCTCTATGTGAGGTAGGTAAATACCTTGGCCTTTAATAGCTGAACTGGTGATAGGGTTGAATTACTTAACTTACGGATTAATGGTGAATGGACTTAATTTCCCATTGGTGGTAACAAATGCAGCTTCATATTGGATGGGAAAGCATATTATTTCTTTGTCTTACTGAAAAGACACTGGATACAATCACCCTCTTCACTGAGATTTTACAAGAAAGTGATCTGTATTGCTTTCATATAAAATCATCACTCAAGGATCTTTGACTCAGAATTTAAAGATATCAAACTTTTCTTACAGTATTAAGCATATCTGCTCTGTACTTTGACTAAGGAAAAAATTCTCCCAAGCACTGATCTCTGACAAACTTGGAGACTTGATCCTGCAAGTACTTAACTTCTCAATCTAATTCAACAGTCACAATGCATGAAGGAAACTACTTGCAAGAAAAAAATAAAATGGAAAAATCATATTTTCCAGATTTATTCTCAAAAGAGAGGTGTTACTGCTCCATGAAGTATGAATAGTTTTGCCTTTGACAAACCTGTCTAACGTATTTGAAGTCATCCAGCCTCCCACCCGCTCTTCTCCAAATTGTACTTAAAATGCTATTCCCAAGAGGGATTTCTGTTTGTTATGGGAGCAGCACCATCGATACTTTTGGCTTGATAAGGCTGTAGAGGCTTTTCCCCAGTTACAGCGGTGGTGTTGAAGCTGAGCTGTGTGGTCCGATAGCAGTTTGAGTGGCCTGTGTAGGGGTGATAGTGCTCTGTAATGTGTTGGTAAATGTAACTGTTTTGTCTTAAGCTCCTGGGCTATATAAGTAACTTGAGTCCTGGAAAATAGTCAGAGTCCCCTGGATCTGATAATATGTCATTATTTTGAAATATGAGATGCAGCTGGGAGTGAGAAAATTCATTTTATTTCATTTAGCGTTGAAGTGATTCGTTTGGGCCAAAGCTATTTTATAAACTGGGACCTGCAAATGTATCACGCTGAGAAGGACACGGCCGCGAAGGCCAGAACCACCACACTGAATGAGCAGCTGGGGCAGATCCACTACATCTTCTCTGATAAGACAGGAACGCTTACACAGAACATCATGACGTTTAAAAAATGTTGCATAAACGGCCAAAGATACGGTAAGTCTGTGCCATGCTGCTGCACCCTGTAGTGAAAACCACGGCTAGCACAGGAGCTCTGATTTGTGACAGGAACACAGGGGGAAGACCCTACAAGTCCCTGTATAGCACAGCTGGCAGCCTCTGA